GTCACTATCACATTAATTTCATGACTCCTGGGATCAAAACTTATAGTACAGATGGGGACCAACCAACAGAAACTTTGAATTATTAAGGACCACAATTTCAGTGTGTAAAAGTCCACAACACTCAAATGTACGACTGGTTGAACATTTCTCTTCCCTACTGTTTCTACTGTCTGACCAAATCCTCATTTTTACCTTTAACAGTTTTCCTTAATCTTATGAAGTATCTGTATCCTTAAGAACTGTTAAAGGTAAATAGAAAACTTTAACCTGTTTAATTTGGATGTTCATTGACTTGAGCTTGCCCTAAGACAGTAGCAGAAAGTCTTCAAACATTTGGTAGGCTTACGACTCTAGAAACAGTGAATAGACTTATGACCTACCACAAAACACATGAGTAAGGCTTTGTAATTCTCTACTTAAAGATTAAACCAGTAGTTTTATTAGTTTTCTATTTCTATTGCTGCATAACAAGTATGGTGAACTGAATTTCATTGTGGGGATCCAGGCTCTGCTTAACAGTCTTGTGCTAAAACCCCTGGGTAGTGTTCAAGATGCCATCAGGGTTCCATTATCATCTGGATGTCTGAGTGACAGAAAGTCTATATCCAAGCTCATTCCTGTTCTGAGAAAAAGTTATTATCTGAAGTTGGAGAATTGAGGGCTGTGAGTTCTTACTAGCTTTGAGGTCCTATAGCTTATCAGCTTATAGAGGCCAGTCACAACCCCTTGCCATGTGAGATTTTCCACCAGAGCTAAAGTCATCAAACTAGCCAGAGATATATCTATTTTCATGGTATTAAGAATTTCACACAGAATTTGTAGTATAATTATGCATTTTCATCCATCATTTTTGCTGTAAACTATTGGTTCAATTAAGCAAGTCACATGTATTAGTCATAGTCAAAGAAGTGTGTAGTGTTCATGAAAACAAGAGAAGACATCTCCACTTAGTAGCAATTTTCAATTGATGATATATTGAGGAAAATGTATATAGAATAAGAAATAATACAATCCATTCTTTCCATCTAGAATAGTGGGTGTTTATGAATAATAAGCATTTAAATCATAAAATAGATACCAGTCATTTCAACTAACTTCTAAGACACAGCAACTAGCATTTACATGTGTTGGACAGCGACTGAAAGCAATAGAAAGTTGAAAGTGAAAGTTTTCTTGTGTTCCTACTGCTGGAGGAAATCTGGGAGTTGTAACAGGTGAAAGAAACTGACCGTACTCCTTTCCCCCATTTTCCCTCCGTTTTTATTTTTCTTCTTAGGGAGAAATCACAAACTGAGGGAGAGTTACTTCTTAAGAGAGTAACTTCTCTCCCTGGACTGCGGTGGTTCTGGAATGGAGAGGGGTGGCAGTGGGTGGTGGGGGTAGGTGTGTTAAGTCAGAGATGGTAAACCCTTTAGCGAGTCCTGAGCGAGGGTCCAGGAATGTTTGCTGGTGTCCCGGCTTTGTTCCTGACTCATCACATCCTTGTTGATGGTTGTGGTAGTGGTGTGTGCATAGGGTTCATGTGTGTGTGGTAGTGGTGTGTGCATAGGGTTCATGTGTGGGTGGTAGTGGTGTGTGCATAGGGTTCATGTGTGGGTGGTAGTAGTATGTACATACAGGTTCATGTGTGTGGAAGGGGTTTGAGTTTCTATGGAGAACAGCGGTCAACATTAGCTGTCTTTCTGAATTGCTTTCTACCTTATTTTGTGAGACAGACAGGATCCTTAGTGGATCTGGAGCACTCAGTTTGGCAACACTGTCTGGATTATGAGTGTTGAGATCCACTCCTCTCTGCCTCCCCAGTGCTAGAACTATAGGCATGTGTTACCAAGCTCATCTCACGTGAGTGCTGGGAATTTGAACCCTGGTCCTTTTGCTTTGCATCAAGGACTTCATTGACTGAGCCCTGCCTGGAGTGCTAATTTTCTGTCTTCAGGACAACTTATTGACATATAATTCACACAACACAAAATTCACTATTTTAAATTTGGTATGTAATCTGATAGGGCTTAGTGTTTTTAGAGTTGGACATTCATCATGCCTTCTCCTTTTAGAACACTTTCATTGCCCCCTCCCAAGGCAACTCAATGCCTGGAGCATCTCCATTCCTCCTGTTCCATCTTCTGCCCACTTTGCATGTCTGTGAATCTGCCTGCTTTGGACTTTTCACATTAAGGGAACCACCTACTGTGCCCCACTTTCCTAATTATTTCACCGAGGAAAAACATCAGTCATCTCTAGTTTATCGGATTTTTTCCTCTTCTGCTTTCAATATCTGGCTGTCACAAAGACTTTAAAACATGTATTAGGTCATTGTACTGGCTGGCTTTATGTCAACTTGACACAGCTGGAGTCATCAGAAAGGAAGGAGGCTCAAATGAGAAAATCCCTCCATAAGTTCTGGCTGTAAGGCATTTTCTTAATTAGTGATCACTAGTGGAGGGCTCAGATCATTGTGCGTGGTGTCATCCCTGGACCACTGGTCCTAAATTCTCTAAGAAAGCAGACTGAACAAGCCTTGAGGAGCAAGTCAGTAAGCAGCACTCCTCCAGGTCCTCTGCACCAGCTCCTACCCCCAGGTTCCTGCCCTCACTGCTTTTGATGATGAATTGTTATATGAAACCATGAGTGAAATAATCTTTTCCTACACAAGTTGGTTTCAATCATGGTGTTTCATCACAGCATTAGTCACCCTAACTAAAAAAGTCATGCTGAACAAGGTGATGTATCACTGATTAATAAACTTGTAGACAGCAATTTGATTTCCTGGGACAGTGAAAACGGGATCATTGCTTGAATTCCATTGATACTAAAAGGAATATAGTTACAATATTTTCAACTACACAGTTGTTTTCATCCTCTCATTAAAGTATAAGAGAAACTGCTTTTTGTACAAGTTAACTGCATTTTAGGGGCATCATTGATTTTTTTTCTCCTGTTAAACTATCTTCAGAACATTTTCCATAGGTACTGGGGGAACCAATGATTTGGGTGAGTATTTTAGAGACAGTATTTAATGCTGACTTGCCCAAATAAATAGATTATTAATCTAGTTGCATTTTACTTCTGTTTGACATGAATTTTAAAATGAATACATTTAAGCATTTGTGGTGGTGAACACCGTAAACCATCTTTGTCGAATCGTCTTTATAAACCGTGAACCTTAGGGCTGGTGATATGGTTCAGAGGGTAAAGACATTTGTTGTGCAGGCCAGTGAGTGACCTGAGTTTGATTCCTGGAACCCATATAAAGGCTGAAGGAGAGTTCCGATTCCTCAAACTGGGCCTCTGCACACCATATAAGCACATGGCATACATGCCCCACACACATTATAGACGTACAACACATATGTACAGACCCAAATGATTTTGAATGTGATGATGATGATGAAAACTTTTTAAAGTGCATTTAAAGTTCAGAAGAATCAGTGGTGCATCATTATAGAAAAAACTCTGATACAATATTAGGCACAAGTAATAGAATCATGGTGGGAAAGTCTGTTGTCACCCTTCAAAGCTTTACACTGTGGAATTCTCAGGAGACATTTCACACTGCAAACACCTTACATCTGCAGTGTTTGGGTGTGTTGTGCTTTCCCTTATAAAGCTGTAGTTCAAAGACTGAGTTTTCATGTTTTTATCTTAGAATAATGAGCTATTTAGTATAAAAAAAGATTCTAAAATTAGGCTACCTTTGTTTGTAGTCTTTAATTTCTTCAGATACAAAATGAGGAAGTTAGGATCCATGAAACAGACCTGTTGTGAAAATTAAATGCACATAAATTACACTGTGTCTGAAGTATGGATGTGGATGTGGATATGGAGAGCGCTTGCTGGCAGTCGCTCTCTAGTTTAGGTGTAGGGACCACATGGGGCAGCAAAGGTTGCTAATTAATGAATTAGGCAGCATCCTGCTTGTGTTTCCTCTCATTCGGTGACTATGTAATGACAAAACAATTCTATCTTCACTAGTTTACTCTTGTTTGTATATTATGAGACATAGAAAATACAGAAAAGCTGTTTTCTAACTTCAATGAAATTTAATCCAAAAACTGGATTACAGATAAGGGTTTAGGAAATTGATGTTTTTCTGTTACAGTGTTTGTGTGTGTGTGTGTATGTGTGTACATGTTATAGTGTGTGTGTGTGCATGTTATAGTGTGTGTGTACATGTTATAGTGTGTGTGTACATGTTATAGTGTGTGTACATGTTATAGTGTGTGTGTGTGTGTACATGTGTGCTCACACATAGGCACTTATGTATTTGGAAGCAAGTAAGAGGTAGCATTCTCAGTGGCCACCTACCTTGGTTTGGTTTTGTTGTTTGAGACAGGATTGCATACTGGCCTGGGAATCACCAGCTTGGCTAGGCTGACTGGCCAAGGAGTCTCAGGGATCTACCTATCTCTGCCTCCCAAGCACTGGGGTTAATTAATAATTAACTAATCAGCGCAGTAAGTGCTCTACTGTACCACCACGCCGTGGCTTTTTCACTCGGGTTGGTGCAGCATGCATTCTACCAACTTACGATGCCCCCAGACCCAGGAAATGCATAGTTTCTGTTATAAAATTCTTGACCCAGATGCTCTGCATTTATGCTATAGTTGTGTATCTTGGTCCTCTTGGGGGACTCCTTACAGTAGGAACAGGGGCCGTCTCTGACTCTTTTTACTGGCTTTTGGGACCCTACACCTCATACTGGGTCACCTTGTCCAACTTTAATACACGGGGAGGTGCTTAGTCTTAGTGCCGCTTGGTATGCTATGTTTTGTTGATAGTCATGGGAGATCTGCCCTTTCCTGAACAGAAATGGAGAAGGAGTGGATTGGGAGGAGGGAACAAAGGTGAGAAGAGGGACTGGGAGGAGAGAAGGGAGGGGAAACTGTGGTAGAATGTAAAATAAAGAAAACAAGGAAGTTATAATGCAAAGAGAAGTCAGTGACAATGAGTTCTTTGCATATTCCAGATTTGACGCCAATATTCTTCTTCTTTCTCTGCAGGGTTTTCCAGGTGACTTTGGAGACAGAGGCCCTGCTGGTCTGGACGGAAGTCCTGTGAGTACCTTGCAAAGGTCCACCCTTACATTCTAACATCACTCACGCTCTGTAGCAACTGCACGCGGCATCCTTACGAGCATATTTACGAGCAATACAGCTGGACAGTTTCCATTCCTCTGTGCACACTCAAGTTTATCATTTTTCAACATGAGAAATAACTCAAGGTTGTCTGGATAAACCTCCATCATGGAAGATAGTCATTAAAATTACTCAGTTTAACCATGTTTGAATAACTGGGGTAACTATGACCACAACTTCGACCTTCATACAGGAAGGAACTGTGTTTCTCAGATCTGCACGGAGGTCTTCCACTTGGGGTTTTCCGTGTGTCACTGTTGAGACTGGGAAAGAGGTGCTATTCAAGAATTGTTGCATTTCATCAAAACCGAGTGGTGGCGGAGTGCTGGGTTTCTAAATGCAGAGAAGTTGTTTCACTTTTTCTCCTTCTGAAGAGTCTGATATGCACATTATTTTTTATCAGATTTTCAAGTGATTAGAATCGATGCAAAATTTGCATGGTCTAAATTATGACTAGTTTCTATGTTTACTTATATGTGAGTCAGTATCACGAAGAGTATAAACATGTTTTCTTTTTAAAATTCTTTTTATAAATTAGCATTGGTTAAGTGACTTGGTAGGTTAAGCTAAGGTTTTACTTGTGTCTACATGGGATTTAAGAGAAAAGTAAAACTGAATTAGATCGAGCTATTAAATATTTGAGTAATATTTTGAATAGAATATTTACCAGCTCTTTCATGCCCATGACTCAGGGTGAGGGGTGCTTGTACTTTGAAGTGTAACGAAGTAATCATCATTATACTTCAAATTCGTGTGAAGTCGTTATTTAATTGATTGTTAATTTTATATCCCTGAACTCTATTAAATCTGGACTCAGCATATTTAAAACATGCTTTGCAAAATATGCTGTTTAAAAATATCATAATTCTCCTGAATATCAATTAAACCTTTAAATATTAGCATAAACTGGATGTTTTTAGTGCAATTTATAGGTTTGTAGTTTTTTTTAAATAATTTACCATGTGTGTGCTTCAAAAATGTAAATGTGGAGAGGGAGGTCATCCCCTTCTCTCATTCTCTGTAAATTTAGTGACACATCATATTATCGTTTTTATAATAAGGAGATCAGATGTTCTTTCTATTTTAACATAACAATAAAGGTAGAAATTTAAAGCAACGTTCTTCAAAAGATGTGACGTCGCTTTAGCCATCTGAAAATGCTCTTCTAAACTCTATACACTCAACACCTGTCTTTTCATGCAACATTCAGGCCAGTTTGTCTGCAATGTTGATTATTGGTTCTTCTTGTATTAAGTACTTAGAAGGTATAGAGAATTATATACCCTTACCTAGAGGGTGGTTTTAATATCTCAAAGAACTTTTGAAAGAATAAAGCAATTTATGCTTTTCAATGGAAGCTAATTTTGACATTGTTTCCTAGAATTATGTGTCATCATTTCAGAAAAACCCTCAGCAGATTGGAATTATAATGAACACATTTTGTACATTTCTTTCATAACAGGGGCTTGTAGGTGGCATTGGGCCTCCTGGATTTCCTGGTATTAGAGTGAGTATCACTTAAAGTCATTTTTATGAAATAGTTTATCGTGTAATTTAAATTGCTAGATGTGCTTTAAGAACTTAGTCAAATGAGTTTTCATGTCATTGCTGTATGGACCCAGCTGAAACATTTTTTTTCAAACAGATAGGAAAATTTGACTAGTAGTATAAATCAAAAGGTAACTGTTGCTTTTGTGGTGGGCTAAGATGGCCTTCTTCTATACATTAATGTATGTAAACATGTACAAATTTATAGCTGCCTTGTTAAAAGGCATTATTGGGACTCAGGGTCTTCAAAATTGTAAGACATAGAAGAACCACTTCCCGTGAGAATCGTTTTTGCCACCCAGTTGAAGACCAGCAGGTGCTAATGCCTTCTCTACCTATTTGAGGTCTCCATGCTGGTGGTTACCATCCTTTGCTTTCCTAACTACTCCAGTGATATACTCACCTATGAGCATGTCAGGTTGAGAAGTCCAGATCCCAGTCCATGCTACAATGCATTCGCATGAATGTCCATGCATTGGCTCGAGGCTCCTTTGTCTAATACAGTGAAGATACGCTTTTGACCTCTTTCTTTGAATCGGAAGTTCTCTGCTGTTTATAGCTTTAGGGGTTCTTCTTTCTCTCACCCCTGGTGTTAGAGCCCAGACACCCTCAACTAAGTTCCCATGCAGCTTCTGTCTGTCCCACTTTCTCCCAGAGGGGACTATGGTAGGTGGGGAACAGCAAAGGACCTTGGGGTTCCCTTGATGAGCTGAAACTCGCATAAAGCCGTCACGCATTGCTTTTGAGAAGGCTGTAGTCTTGAAGGACAATGATTTGACACACAATTTCTGGTATTTCAATGTGATGGTTCTGTATTTACTACTCTGTTTTTACCACATACTCATCTGTTTTAGTGAATTCTTCACAGCGCTTTCCCACTATCTCTGATCTTAGTGAGGTTTCTTTTAAAGTCGCAAAATGAGTAAAATAAGAGATCATGCATTGAAAGCACATTCATCTCAAAATGCCAGATGAAGCAGTTCAAGACAAATTTAACTAAGACAAAATTTCAGAATGCTATGTTCTCTGTGTAAAATAAATGACACAGTCTTTTTGTTTGTAAAATATCTCTCCGACATTAGATAGATTATTTCTGAACAACCCCCAAACACAGAAATTTATTGTGTTTTTTTTAACTAGCATGAGCTTTAAAGCTATGAACTTTGAATAAACCAGCCACTGTAATCACACCAGCACTTGGCATTGCAAGCAGTTTTTATTGCCCTGGGATACTTATTAAGCTTGGAAGCATTACACTTTGCTACTAACAGTTCCATACATTTCAGGATCAAACATGCTGGGAATAATTAGTCTCCAATGTACTTCATAAACTTTAAGACTCTTCCAGAGTACCACTGTCATGCTTTCCATTCTGAAATTTGTATCATGCGAATGTAGACTACTGCCCATGCAATAAGGAAATGTTGGGAACTAGAACTCTAGAGATTTCTATCTAAAACAGAAATACATCTTAAAGTTCATTCCTTCAGTATCCACTTGATATTTTATGTGAAAACTGTCATATCACATTTATGAGGTTGAGTCTGGAGACAGGGTGGAGAATGGCATGTGTCTGTTCTCAGTTAATGCACAGATTGATAGGCTGGGGGAGACATGTACTAAAGGCATTTGGTACTGGTCACTGTATCTTCAAAGACTTGGAACATGCCATGAGGAAGAGCATGGCCAGGAGATGGGATGGATTTCCTGGCTGAGGGTAGATGTAGAGGAGAAAGAGGAGGAGGAGGAGCCGGTAAACACAGAGGGGGGTCTGGAAGTGTGGCCTTGGATGCTAGCTCAATAATTTGGATTCTAGCTACACTGAATGACATTTTTAGAATCTCAGAAATAGAAGTTTCAGTTGTTGTTTTGCTTTCGGAGACATGGTTTCCCTGGATGAGAGTCCTGATAACTAACAAGCTCACTGTGAAACCAAGGCTGGCCCCATACTCCTGAGTGCTGGGGTTACTGATTTCAGCCACTATACTTAGCTTTGAAATTTTTGTTCTTTGTTATTTTAGAGATATCCTCTTACTATGTTGCTATGCTGCCTAGGCTGATCTTGTATTTTCCAATCCTCTTGACTCATCCTTTAGAGTGGCTAGAGGTATAGGAGTGTAACCAGCCATGGGCACACATACAACTTTCTTACCATTTGGAAACTTGTAGAGGACCGAACCAAAGTGGTCGTCAGGATGGAGAGAGACAAGGAAGGCAGGAGAGTTAATGAGAAGGAAATTGGGGTCCCAACAACAGAAACCTATCCTCTCCTGCCTACCTATTGGCCATTCATCTGTTTATTTAACCAATCAGAAGGTGCCTTAGGCAGACACATCTTTACAATGTACAAAAAGATTATCCCACAATAATGCAGAAATATTAAGATACACAAAATAGGGATGTCCTACAATATTTTATTGATAGAAAAATCACTTACATGAGAAGCCAAGAAAGCTGAGACCCAAAGGTCCACATGCTGCTCTCCAGGCCCCAACTGGAACCCAAAGAGAGACAGTCTCCTCCCCTTAGTTCTTGTTATCCCCCATATGTTCTACGTACCTGTGAACACACCCACACAGGCATGGTCAGTGCTATGGGTACGTCAGATCTCTCCCTACAATTCCCCCTTTAGTCTAAAGAAAAGATTTAGACTTAAAACAAAACTAAATTGTGTCAATATACAAAATGTCTCAAACATATATAAAGCATATATACATATAAGATGATAAACAAATTGTAATCTAATCTACCTATATCCTGTCCTAAGCGTATTTATCCCATCCATCTAAACCCTAAACTTAACTGAAAGAGATGCCCAAGTCTGAACACCTCCTTCCAATCCCAACCTTAAATAATTGAAAACCAGCTTTAACAGGTGTAATGTTAAAAGTAGGGAAAGGGGGAATAGTATTCTCAGAATTACGTCCTGCTGAAATGGGATGACAATAACCTCATGGGATCCTGGAGGAAGAAAATGTTAGTGTAGTTCAAGTTTCAAGTGGACTGGCTACAACTTACCCAGTCTCTGTTTGGTGGGAGATGCTTCATTGAAGTTCTTGACTGAAGTTCTAATATTGATTAAAGCTCTTGTCTGAGGCTCTGACCTGAATGTAGAAGGTGCACCACATCAGTTAATTCGCCTGGATTTGAGTAGAGCGATGTAGTCCCAAACTGGCTTCAGGGTGGTACTTGTCAGTTCAGATGCATCAAGTCAAGAGCAGAGGGTCGCCATGTGATCCTGGGGAAGAGAGAACATATCAGGATGCCGTCCTCAGAAAGATAAGACCTTATAGAAATATATATATATTAGTGGTTATGGGTTATTACTTAAGACATAACTAGTCAATGAGAAGCCATGGACATTGGCCGACAGCATTGTAACTAATAGAGTCTCTGTGTATTATTTGGGGTTGACATGGGACTTGGACCAGCCTGGCGGGAAGAATCACGTTACACCACAACAGCTAAATAATGAATAAAATAGAAAGCTAGGGTGGTTGATTAATGTACTTGATTATTTGAGGGGACCTTGACACTAAGATATTTCTACCCATCTGGAAAAGAACAGAAAGAATATGGGAGCTCAGTGGAGGAAAGGGTTCAACTAGAACGGACAGGAAGAATGGGCACCTGTTGCTTAAGAGTTGAATATTGTCTAAGAAAAGAAAGGTTGCTTTCACTTCACTAACATTTTCACTGTGCCATACCCTCTTCCTAATCCTAACGAGTGCTTAATAATATCTTCCTTACCATTTCTCAGGGAGATGTTGGTCCTGCAGGATCAATTGGACCCCCAGGAGCTCCTGGACCAATGGTATGACTCTATTTGCTTACTGATATTTCTCTCTGATTTCTACATGATGTCAAAAAATATCAACTTTTGTATTTCTAGGGCCTCTCAGGAAATAGAGGACCACCTGGAATCAAAGGTGATAAGGTGATTTCAATATTAAAATTATCACGGAGGTAATTCCTCACCCCAGTTGATTATTTTGTTCAAACCAACAGAAATGATTCAATTTACTTGCAAGGTCTAATTTGTATTAATCAGTTTTCCTAAGAAGTAGGGGATGTGATAGAGTTTTTCTTCTATAATGAATACTTGCCTTCTCATGTGTCACCATGCTTATAATGCCTTGTCTTTCTGTGAAATTGCACTTCCTAGGGTGAGCAAGGCATGACAGGAGAGCCAGGAGAACCTGGGTACCCTGGAGACAAGGTAGGTACCTCTCACACCACTCACTCATTTGATAGAAATTGAGAACTAAAGAAACGGATTCAAAGGAAGGGGTTACTTATTATTTCTACCATGCATTTGGTAAGGATATGGCATCAATCTGACTTTTAAATCTAAACTACATCCACGAGTATTTTTAGAAGTATGCAAGTAGAAAGTTTTCTGTAATGTGACATTTCCCTTCTAATTTTTCTCCCAGGGTGCCATTGGGTCACCAGGACCACCAGGGATAAGAGGAAAGTCGGGACCTCCAGTAGGTTTGAGCCTTTGCTTTGGTTTTGTTTGTTTGCTTGCTTGTGTGTTTTCTTTTGTGACAAGCACAGAGTTTTGGTGCTTGATGGCATTAGTGTATCAGACCCACATGTTCTCTCCTCAGCCTTAGAGGGTAATTTCCCTTCATGTTTTCAGTATATCTTCCACAGACAGATTCCTACCCTAGGCCAAGGATGAAACCATAAAGAAAATGAAGAGAGTTTAAGTCAAAAGTAGACCTCTGAATTTTTTAAATGAAGCCTTATTCTTTATGAAGTGCTAGGCATTGTTGTAAGGGTTATACATCTGTGTAATCGTCACAATTCTTTGAAGACGACATTATTTATTTTGTTGATTAAAGACAAAGAGTTAATTAACTTGTGTGAGGTACCATAGTCAGTCAGTGGACCCCTGAATAAACCTAGGTACTGATGTATGCCACAGCCCAGGCTCAGTCATGGCACCGTGCTGTTTTAGGACCTTAATATCTTAAGGCTATTGTAAGATGTTAATACTTGCTGGGCGGTGGTGGCACACGCCTTTAGTCCCAGCACTTGGGAGACAGCACAGTGGCAGGTGAATCTCTGAGTTTGGGGCCAGCCTGATCTACAGAGTGAGTTGCAGGACAGCCAAGGCTACACAAAGAAACCCTGTTTCAAAAAGCAAAACAAAAGTTGATGTTGTTTACAGCTATACAAAGGTGGTTATAGATAGAAAAATGTATGTAGGATTGAAGCACACAATAAAATACTGAAATGCTATTTTCTTGAGCACTTTGTTATGCTTCCTCTAATTCCACCCCGTCTCTCAGGAAGCAGGGTTATGCTTCAGAATCTCACACAATCCATCAAGCACTCTGAATATTTCTCAGAAATTGCTTAATCCAAAGAATACCTTTAGGGATTCTTCCAATGATAGGTCAATGGAGGACCTATTTTTATTTTGCATTAATCAAATTAACTCTGTGCCCAAGACTCCTGCCCTGAAGTTACATCTTGAAAACTCTACAGTCCATATTAGGACAGGAGAGTCAGTCAAGAAGACAGCTAACACTTAAGGAGCCTAAACTAAGCAGCAGGGACTTTTCGGTGTCTGGGGAGATTGGGAAAGAAAGCTAGAGCCTTTCTTTTTCTTCATTTGTTTATATTTTGAAGATTTTCAAAACCCTTTGATAGTCATAAGAAATGATATGTACTAATAAATAGACTCATGCTATTCTCCTATGCTCTGTAAGTCATATTGTAAGAGCATATTCAGGCCCATATGACTAATCATTGTTAAGTCGCTCATTCTCTTATCCAATTTATATCATAGCATGTTTATACCAGGAGAAATGAGTACTGAGTCTAAAAGATACAACATGGATTTAAGTCCCACCTCTGACACTGGACCTTCTATGATCTTGGGTATATAAACATCATAATACCCAATTTCTTGTGTTTAAGATGAAAGTCAGGCTCTAATACACTTAATACTTGTGAATACTTCTCCAGTTGAAGAGAGAGAGATACTTTGCTGTGCGTTGCCACTATTTCTGTAGTCTAAGCCAAGAGAAGTGTATTTTACATTTGACATACTGACTTAATGTTTTGTTTGTAAAAGAAGTCACAAATGCTGATAACGCTTATTTATGGTGAGGGATGAAAAGGGTCTGATATATGTGCATTCACACATGCATACACATGCATGCATATGCAGTATTGCACACACATGCATACCCATATGAACACACACATATGGTATATTTCATAAAGGAACCTTTTCCTTTGGTGCCTAAACTCATTTGTATTTTACCAATACCAAGATATTTGGCCTGAAAACCTTCTCAAGTAAGGATAGGAGGGTCCTATTTTATGAAAAATTTTTACACAAAATCAATTGGCTTATTAAAAGAAAAACTGCCACACTTGCTTATACTAGTTTGCACCTACCTAAAGGCTTTGTCTGCTTCCGTGGAAGGAATGACTCTTGGGGATGTCTTTCTCAGTCCTAGCTTTGCTTTATATTATCTTAGATTTTACTGGTTGCTATGATTGCTTCCAAGTGGATCTGAGTTATAACATGAAAGAATATTTTCCAGATGTAGGAACAGCCTTATGTGGAAGGTGTGTGCGTTCTGGAACAGGGAAGGTTTTGTTCAGCAAGTTCAGAAATCAGGGAAAGCTACCACTCTGGAAGGGTCAGGAACTCTCCTCCCCCTGAGCTAGAGAAAAAACAAAGACTATTGTGTTCTTAGAATGTGTGTGTGTGAGAGAGAGCGAGAGAGCGAGAGAGACAGAGAGAGACAGAGAGAGAGACAGAGAGAGAGAGAGAGAGAGAGAGAGAGAGAGAGAGAGAGAGAGAGAGAGAGAGAGAGAGAGAGAATAAGCCACAGGAGTCCACTCTTCTTGTCTACCATGCGATTCCCCAGACTGAACTCAGGCTCCAAGGCTTGGTGACAAGAGCTTTGGCCACTGAGCCATCTCGTGCTGGTCCCCTTACCATTTTTATACTAGAAGTTTCTTTATTTATAGAGATTTACTTAACACTGTGCCATACTGTAAGCTACTTGAAAATTCTTCATAAAATGTTTTATAAAGGAAAATTTACATCCACAGAAAGATGGTAACTTAAGTTTCATAAAATAATTATTATAAAAGATTAATGAAATTGCTGCACAATTTGCTTTTTGACATTTGCTTGTCAATTAAATCCAAGGCCTGAGGATTTGCTATTTTTTCTTGGGTGCTTCTAGTCGGCATCCTAATCGGTTTTTGCCACTAGAGGGCCCCAGTGAAACCCACCCCATCACTCACTCTCAGAGGTGTTTGTCCCTTACACACTGATTCAGATGGGTTATAAGTTTATTTCTGCCATTCGAAAATGAGCCTTTGCCCAAACTGTCTAGATTCTAGTGCGGTAGTTGTCCTGCGCCCTCTCATGTTAGATGTCTTTGGACTGCAAAGGGAGTCAGTCAAAATAGGAAACTGTAGTTGTTGGGAAATGGGTCCCCTCATGCTGGATCCTAAAATTTGATGTCATCTTGGGCCTGGTTTAATCAGATTAAAAGCTCATGTGGAGGCTTAGAGCAAAGGCAGACAATTCAGCAGTTTTCTTATGAGAACAAAACTGCCTCCATATTCCTTTCCCCTGCTCTGTGCTGTTTCCCCTCGACAGCATCGATGTTTTCCCTGGCTTCAGGCTCATACCCACTCCCCTCAACATTTAAGTCCAGATCAAAGTGATCTGGGCATTGCATGCAAAGCCAGGCCAGGGACACAGGAAGTGAACAGTCCACTGCCGTCACTTTGGTTAATGTTCACGATCCTTCTGTGTGGCCTGACTCTGCACTGTTCACACATTGTGTCGTGAAACTCTCACAATGACCAACGACTCTGAGAATGCTAGTTATCCTTCCTATCCTTGTGGTGAGACAAGGGAGACTTAGAGACACCTAGCAGGATGTGAGTCATAATTACTCCATCAAGCCACTTACAGTAGCAAAGAGGTGAGAAATTTTCAGACGTGCCCTAGGACTCTGATTATAAAAAGCAAACCCCCTTCTAGAACTCCCCACTGCTGCTTTATTGACCTGTCTCTGGAGAAATATGCACACACATATGTACATACACACACATATGCACACATACATATACATATGTATACACATACATGCTCACTCATGCATGGATACACACACATGCACACATATGCATGCACATAAACTGATATGCATACACATGTACACACACACATGTACATGCGCACACGTGCACATGCACATGTGCCTGTACATGCACATACACACATGCGTGCACACACATGCACATTTTCACACCTACTCTTTGTCTAGCCTGAGCCACCTGACTGGTTACTTTGTTTGGATGGCTAACAGAAGCAAGTGTATGCTGCACCACAGACGTCATGTATAAGTAAGTTTCACAGTGACAGTGTGGTAAGAGTGTATGAAGCCTGAAGCCAGGGATGGCAGCTAATAACCCAGGTGATGACGGCAGATGACGGGGAAGAGCAATCTGAAGGCCTTACAAATTAAATCTCTGGGAAGGCATTACGACTTTGTTTGACATAATATATTAAATGCTGTTCAGTTGCAAAATGCCAGCTTCCACTTTCAGTTATATTTATCAAGTTAATATTTTTTTATTTTGATTTTTCCCTCCCCTTTTAGGGACAACCAGGTGACCCAGGACCCCAGGGACCATCTGGCCCTCCAGGACCAGAGGTAAATTGTTGATTAATACATTTGAAACAAAAAAATGGTGAAAATTAAATGTCTTTTACAAAACATGCTTTTTGTGGGGAGCGTGAGAAAGATTCTCTCTGAGGTTTATCTATGAAAAGCAGTTTAGACCACGTTTATTCCATCAGGGATCCTAAGGAAACAGGAGATTGAGTATAGGTTGAAGTTCATGGGGCCAGAGCACTTTCAAGCTTTGAATCCTTTTCACAATGACAATGGGAATGTAATCTAAATTTATGGTTCATATGGGCTTAGTTAGAAGGTACACATGTATAATGTTTTCCAGGTCCCTGAGTTGTGACTGGGACCCTCACAGAGGGTCAGGTGTATCTCATCCTCTGGTTTGGAACATGTCTTTGGATTTGGGAACATTAAGTATTCCAGGGTTTTTATTAGAGATGCAGGCTCTGAACTGTCTACGTTTTATTCTGATGAAATCCTGGCCCATCTGTCTTTTGTTTGTGGCTGGTCAATGAGACATAGTTAAGAACTGTAAACAAAAATGGGAGCCATAAACTCCACTGAATTAGTAATAGGAAATGCTTCTAATTCTTGCTAAATGCATGTATAATGTGGACTTCATATCTAAAATAAGTGCAACTAGACTTATAGTAGACCTATCAAGTTTGTTTGTGAATCCCTTAAAATAATGAGTTTGGCTTCAGGGTCGGTACGGAACCTCTTTCTTTCTTTCTTGAAAGCCTCAACAGAGCAGAAGCTCTGGGGGTAAAACGTCCTTGAATCTTATCATGAATTCCAGATGTTGCGTGAGATAAAGCTTCTGTATTTCATCCTAGTTTCATAAAGACACCCCAAGTCTAACTGAGAGTAATGGATGCAGTAGCAATGCCTGGGATATAAGTTGACTTCTCCAAAAGTAAACAGAGAACCAGCAACTCCCTAGTGCCAGAGCCCTGGGCAGTTCCAGGACAGAACTGTATGACGCCTTCTTCCTCTGGGCAGACTACAGGTCCTGATTCCACAGCTACTCTTCAAGGGTTGACCATTTCCTTTTTTGTTGTTGTTGTTGTTTGCTTTTTTTGTTTTGTTTTTTTTTTGTTTTGTTTTGTTTTTTCGAGACAGGGTTTCTCTGTGTTGATTTGGGGATTTGGAGGCTGTCCTGGAACTCATTCAGTAGACCAGCCCGGCCTCGAACACACAGAGACCCGCCTGTCTCTGCCTCCCGAATGCTGGGATTAAAGGCGTGCGCCACCAACAATGAATGTGTTTTAAATTAGAAAACCTATTACCAGTTAGCTAAAGAAATCGTCAACCGGCTGGGCGTTGGTGGCGCACGCCTTTATTCCTGAGAAGGACGTTGTTTTGAGTGAGCAATTAAAACTCGAGATTAATACAAGTGTGTCTCTTTTTTATGAACCAACCTCTTTTACTCCATCAAGTTTAGCGAAAGCTTGTCTGGAACAGATACGATTTGCCTGACTTCCTTCACCCACGATGCCGATTCCGACTCCACTGTAGTTATTTTAAGTGAGTGTTGTTCTTAGTCCGCCTGCAGATTGTTGCAGTCGCGGTTAGGAGCAGCATCTGTCTGCCTTGGGGAGGGCCGCTCTGTCTCTTGTGTCCCTGTTGTTTCAATGACCTCCTTTTGCACAAACCGTGGCTGTGGGTGCCCGAGTGAAGGGTTGTGCTACCTTCCTCGTCACCCAAAGATGTTCATTTTCCCTGTCACTGAAACCGCATCGTTTTCCATCAACAGCTATAACGTTGTCTTCTTTGTCTCTAATCCCGCGTCGCTTATAAAAGGTCCTGACCTTTACCTGCTCTGTTCCTCTTCCTTGTCTGCTTCGTTTCCCAGAGGGGTTCCCGGTAGTCTCTCGAGAATTAGTACGAGGTCATTTGGGGGCAATTTAACGTTTGCAATGCCTTCTAGCTCATAAACACGCGTTACATACATGACTGGATGCGAGGCACTGTCTCGCAGCAGATGTTCTGGTCCTTGGGCTCTTACGTTTTCCTTTCCGCTCTCCTGCCTTGCTCCCTGAGCCCTAGGTTTATGGTTCCGTTGTTAGATGTACTCACGGGTGAGGGCACCCGACAATCTGTTCTTCTCTGCATTTCTACTAGCTATGGGTTTCTGTGATGGTCTCTCTCTGCTGTAAAGAGAGGCTTCCTTGATGAGGGCTGAGGGTTACACCGATCTGGGAATACAAGGGTGGGTATACAGAATGTGGTTGGAAATTACGTCCATTCTTCTGAACATCAGACTTTTTAAAATGGATTCTTTGTGGGTTTCACACCATACATCCTGAGCCCATTCATCTCCCAGCCCCTTTATGTGTGCCCTCTGCCCTCACAACCTCCCTCCCAAAGCATAAAATAAAACTTAAAACAAAAACGAAAGAAACTAGCATACACAAACGAAACAAGAGGAAAAAAGGCAAATGTTTCAGTGTGAAAGCTGTGGTGTGAAAGTGGGAGCCACACATTGTACCGTAGTCCAAACAGCTTTACTTGTGAGTGCCCGCTGCGATGAGCAGTTGGTCAGGTTTGAGGCCTCTGGCTTCTGCTGGATGTTGGGCCTTCGCGGGGCTCCTCTTGTATGTCCTGTCGTTGCCTTGGGTCTTGGAGATCCTGCAGCTTTGGATCTGCAGGTCCGGCCCCTGCAGAAGTTTCACCATGAACTTTGACTTTTGATGTAACTGTGGATTCAAGAATTTAAATAGACTGTTTAATAGCAAATCAAAGCTAAAGTGATTTTCTTTTCGTAATATATAATTTTTTTCCAGGTAAAGGTTCTTAGTTGTTAGGTTTCTGTTTATCCCATAGGCTTCAAACGAAAATTTCTAAGCAACAAAATGTAATTCTGAGGCTTGGACTTTTTGAGATGTAAGCATAACAACAGGGTAGCTGGTTATAAAGAAGGAGGTTACACGGAGACTAATTAATCCCTCCAATTGCTTAGAAGGGCAAATGTGATACAGTCAAGGATTAGCAGTGCCGTTGAATGACCCCATCTGTGAAAGGAAGGCATGCTTTCAACAGAAACACGAGGAATATAATTGACAACATTTGAACTATGCAGTTCAGCTCAGTCAACTTGTGAGAGAGGGCTATAATACAACTTTCATACATGTACTTGACTAGTTGAACAAAATGTGGGTCATTATTCTAAAATAGAGACTAAAAGCAGCAGAAGAAAAGCAAGGTCAAGGTGGTTGGAAATCAGATCTTAGGTTTTGATCTGTTGACACTGAAATATTTTAGTGCATGGAGAGTAATCTCATAATTCCACAGAGGCCACAGTCCTGGGGCTCAGAAGAGAGGAGTGGACAGGTGCAGACAGAACACAGCGACTGTAGATGTTATGTGAACCAGTTGCAGCAGACGAAGCCATTGAGGGAGAGTTCATAACGCAGGCTCTGAAAATAATAAACCTGCTTGCCCGTCTCCCAGAAACCCACTTTCTGTGTCTACAGTACAATTAAAGGTTTTTTTTGTTTTAGTTGTACTTTATTTAATGTTTGTGCTTGTGTCTGTGTGTAAGCGTCTGGGTGAGTGTTTGTATACACAAGTGCATGTGCCCACGGAGGTCAGAGGAGGCCTTTAGATCCCTTGGAGCTGGAGCTGCAGGAATTTTGTAAGCTGCTCAATGTGGGTGCTGGGATCTGAACTCTAGTGCCCATGGCTTGAACAGCTGGGGCTGTGTCTCCAACCCTATAAATAAGTATTAAGTTAATGTCCAAAGAGCAGTAAAATAAATTTTGGTGACTAAAACACACATCCCCAAGCAATTGACAATTTAAATGAAAAAAATCACAATGTAAATTAGGAAATGTTTAAAAGAGGGTGAGAACAAATGACAACAACAAAAGACCCTTAAGCATCACAGCTGAAACAACACACAAAGTTCTTCCTGCAGAGCAAGGCAAATGTTGTAAGTTCTCCAGAGCATCCATATGGGGGTTGAATCTAAAGGAGAAGGACCGGAAAGAGATCAGCAGGATTGGACTAAGTCATCAGAGGGAGGAAACTATGGGTGAGGGTGGCCTGGGAGCTCCTGGAAGCCTGAGCAGGGGGTAACGGAGGATCGTGGAGATAATGTCTGAGTTGTATTGATGCTAAAATGTAAAGACTTCTTGCACCCCTCACCCTGAGGCCGGGAGATCTGTGCGGAAGAGGAAGCAGGATGCTTGTAAGAGCCAGAGGAGGCAGATGAGGTTAAGGAAACACGGGGAAGATGCACAGCAGTTATGACAGAATGAGCAAGACTCCTGCAAGCTCCGGACAAACGAAGTCCCAGTGTAGGTGTGGAAGGTAGAAATGCAATCCCGATAGCCGGTGGTATCTGACAGCTGCTGGAGAGGGGCAGTCAGTGTGTGACTATGACCACACACCAGAGCAGGACCCAGCCCCAAGACTAGCTGGTCAACATAAACTGGGCTTGATGGGAAGAGAAGAGAAAAGACAGAGAGATAATCTCAAAGTTGAGGTAGAGGAATGGGGAGATTGAGTGGGGAGGAGCTGAGGGGTGAATACTCAAAATACAGTCCAAGAAATCCTCACAGAACTAATAAAATATTTTTAAAGACCCAAAACATGGCTACTGGTATGGAATTCAAATTTGAATATAAAAATTGCTAACCAAAGCCGTGATATAGGACCAGTTATATGAGGTTCCTCTCTCACAGATGGAAACGTAGTCATGGTTCAAAAAGAAATATAGAAACTCATGATACTAATGTTTTTTCTATTTTCAGCATAGATGTCACAACACCAAAGCAGAATTCAGTGGCAGAGAGGCTAATGTATCACCAAAACGGTGAGATCTACATAGAGATTTGTGTGACAACTTTTGTTAATTATTTAGGTGATAAATGATTTAAGTTAATAGCTGGGGGGGAGAAGAGTAACTAAAGTTACTATCTTCTAAGTCAAAATCAAGCAGTTAGGCTGGGAATCTTGAGCCTCATTTCAAATAAACGTTACTTCAGGTGTGAAGGGGAAATATCTATGGTGCTAAT